CCACGCTTTGAAGTGTGGAGATGTACACACACATGCTTCTGCATCCAAGTATTGTCATTGAGTGATTCTCTCTCTCTCTCTCTCTCTCTCTCTCTCTCTCTCTCTCTTTCCAAAATAGGACCTTAAATCTTAAGGCTAGAAATAATAATGTGTAGGCATAGATCATCATGGAAATTGTGTATGGAGACTCAGGTAATTTGCAAATGCCCAAAAAATATCTAAGGGGAATCTAAGTTCAGGTAACATGCAGGTATCCTTGAAGTAGCATGTAGATCCTCAGGCTGTTTCAGTCTGGTGGATTCTCCACTGGATTGTCATCCAGTTTCTTGACCTGGATTCACTTACATCCGGAGCTCAGAACCTCCTTCAGCCTGAGGGCCAAATTCAATTTTGGACAAGCTGGGGAGGCTGCATTCCAGCGGTGGGTAGGGTAGGACCAGAGGAATGGGGTCAAAAATACAAAAAAGTCAGCACTGAACTAACTCAGCCTTGGGAGAGGCATCTGGGGCTTATATAATGGGCAGAAAGCGGGTGGTGCAAAGAGCAGGAAGCCATTAATGATTGGTCACGAGTGGAAGAGGATGGGATGCGCTTATTGGAGGAACGTTGGAGAGGCTAAATATGCAGAACAATCGGAGGCTGTCTCTTGCCTCCAGTGGAGGAGTTCTCCACCCCGATTTGCACCCCAAGAATGCCATCACAACACCCACCTTCACCCCAGCGACTTGCATCTCCTTGAGGACTTCAGTCTGACAGTTCTCATTCCCTGTTATTGCAGTCATTAAGCTAAAACATTGAAGAGTTGTGCTATAGGACTGCAGCCAGAATCTACAAAAAATATAGGCACGATTTCTTCTGATGTCAGTAGCAACTTCGCTCCAGTGAGGAATGTGAATCAATGGACCAAAAGAAAATACTTTGGGCTGCATTCATTATAACTGGCAGGATAACCTATGGATATGAAAGTTTAAAAATGCAGCTTGCCTGTCCTGTAAACTCTAAGCAACCCCTCTGCTCCTTTTCCTGGGAATCCAGCCTGAATAGCGGATCCATGAAATAAACATCCCACCCTCCAAATAGCGCCCCAAGTACGGATGCTGTAAGAACTCAGCACACAGGATGGACCGCTCCCTATCGCTTGATGGTTCATGCATGTACCTGTGCACCACGGGGTGGCTGCCTCTCGTCTCCTTGCAGGACTCATTTGCTGTACATATTTGCCTTCTGTCAAGCGGCTTTCTGCAAAGCCAGGAGAGCAACTTCAGGATGGATGGCAGGCTGCCAAGAAGTCTTTGGACCTGCAGCCCACTGGCTGCCCTGTGGAAGCCAGTCCTAAGGGAGCCTGTCTGTCATGGCCAAGCTGAAGGACTGGCCTTAGATCTCTCTCCTGTACACTGCTCTGTGACAGAGTGGCTCTAAAACAGCCCAGGGTTCAAGCCCCCAGTTGGCCATGACGCTCACTGGGTCAGTCACTGACATTCGGCCTGACCTACCTCGCAGGCTTACTGTGAAGAAGCCCCTGAGCAGAGGATCCTGCTTGTGGACTCAGGCTCAGGCTCCTTGGCAGGAAAGACAGGATATAAACGTAACCCATGGAAGTAAAACAATATTGCATCTCCCAGTGAAGCTCATGCGCTATTTCAAGTCAGATCTCAAAATATTGTTTCTCTGAATGGAGCACAACAACCTTCCACCTGCATCCCTTCCAACTTAGCAATTATATCCACATTTACATATACAGATATAAATCAGTGCAGGCAGATTTATGTCATCTGGAGCTGGGGCCTATGTTTCAAATGCCTGACCACAACTCTCCAGGCAATCTGACTGAACTGGGCAGAGGAACCAGATCCTGCCTTTGACCTAATAAAATCAATAGGGCTCAAGTTGATCCTGATTAGCTTAATTCCCAGTTAATTTAGCTACATATTACATTTTTATAATGCCCAACAGGCAAAGCTTATTTCAGTGACTTGTGGGATTCCAGTGGAAAAGTGGAATGCATTTTGAAATGTCTGTCACTGAAAGCACATTGAAGTCCTGCTGATTTCAATGAGATATATGCACATGCTCCTCTCCCATTGAAATCAATAGGTCAACATGTTTAACTTTGGCAGAGTCCTGCCCCAGTGCCTACATGAATACACATTCGGTTGATTTCAATAGAAAGTACTTCCAAATAAAGGTGCTTCAGTTCAAAGCAAAGCCTTCTTCAACCCGCATACTAATACTTCATAGGGTTGTGTAGCAGGTTCTGTGTGCGAAGTGTCTGTCCGCCTGCCTGCTTGCTCCTAAGAAAGGAGAAGAAAAACACAGCTGGGTCTGCAAACGCTCAAGCAACTGTAAACATTTTTCTCTGTAGTACTAAATCACACATGTTTAGGACACAGCACCCAGCAATATCCATAAATATGGAGGGTTGTCAATTTAATGTGTATTTAAATTTAATTGGTGTTATTTATATGCATGTGTAAATGTGATGGACAGTATATTTATTTAAATTTATATCCTGTGATATATGTCATAGGCCCAGGGTGGTTTACAGTAGTGTAAAAGATGTGGGTGAGTCACTTAGGGCAAGGATGCCAGAAGGTCCAGCTGGTGGTTTGTGGTAGGTTGCCTCCCAAATCGTTTAACAATGGCAGCAAAAAAACCAAACAAACGTATTTCTCCACCAAAATTAGGCTGCTTGGAGAAACCAGGAGTGGACTACTGTGAGAAGAGACAGTGATCCCGGTTCAGTTTTGGTACTGAAAATAAATAACTAGGCCTAGAACATGTCCAGAGGAACCCTTGCTTTTTAATTCTTCAGTGCATGTCTCTATGACTCTTTCAGCTAAGCTCTATTTTATGGGTTTGTTGTAAAATAATAACAATAACCCAAAAAATCTAACAAAATCTATTTTGAAAAAGTGTATCTGACAAGCTTGAAGACTTTTGGTCCTCCTGACCAAAGAAGGAAATGTGTTGGCTCATTTTTCTACTGTGAACTTTAAAGTTCGCTTCTTGAAAACAGTTGGGCACTTTAACCTTGGCTGGATGGTATCTTGGCTGATTTTCCTGTGCTTGGATTTAAGCAGCCTCCATTCTTGTACCTCTCAGAATTCCTTGCTTTCTCTCCACATCAGCACAACAGAGAAACATGTTCACTCCAGTCCCTAGACAAGGCTTCTTCTGACCCGGGAAGAGAGGGAGTAGGGGAGGTTAAGGAAAGGTAATGTTCATAAAGCTTTTATTATTATTATTTTTAAAATCCGCATAAATACTTGGCTTGGCAAACCTGTTCTCTTAGCAAGTGGTCATACAGATTTGAGGTAGAAAACCCAGTACAGGAAATGTATCAAATGCATCCATTTAGGTAGTTTAAATACATCGAAAATAAAAAATAAAATAAAACCGACGACATCAGAAGCTGAAAGGTGGCGGGCGGAGACGTGGGTACAGGGAGAAGCCCCGGGCGAGTTCTGCTTATTTACACCCCACTGGAACACGAGGCTCAATCCAGCCAAAATGGAGCGGGCTGAGATCCCTCCGCGTGCTCAGCCTTCCAGCGAAGCCTTCTTGAAGGTGCTTGCCTGGGGCTGGATCCAGCCCAGAGGAAGTGCAGGCGGCAGCTCCCCGCGACCGCGGCCGAGCGGGCGCAAAGGCCCCCCTTCGCGTCCCGCGTCGCAGGCTCTCGAGTGCATTCTCGGCCCGCCGCTCACGGCCAGCCCCGAGCCCCGGATCGGTGCCTGTGCAGGGCCGCATTCTGCACCCGCCGGTGCGAAATGCAGCCGCTGCGGACCCTGGGGACGCCGGAGTAGCAGGGCTCTCTTCGAGGTCACTTCTGAAAGTGGGGGCGGGACAGGAGGGGTGTAAAGCAGAGGGAGATGTGAACCGCGGCGCGGGGGGCTCGAAGCCGGGGGCGCAGCAGCAGCCGACCGCGCCTCCCCTGCTTCGGCAGCCCGGCCTCTCCCCGCTTGGGGGCTGGGCCGGAGATGATCTGGCCAGCCGGAGCACCACGGCAAGTGGGCCTGCTTCGCAGTGAGCAGCCTGAGGGCCGCATGGCCAGGACCGGTGAAATCCCAGGAGTGGATGCAGCGCAAGCGAAGGCTTCTCCGTCCAACTGCGCTCTCGTGGGGTGGAGCTGAGCACTCGCCGATTTGACCCACTGAAGCCAATGGAGGGAAGGACGGGCCTCGATCACACTCGGAGGTGGGCTTTTAGACCTAAGGCTGCAATCCTTGGTGTCCTTACCTGGAAGTAAACCCCATTCGACTCAAAGGGACTTATTTCTGAGTAGACACATGGAGGATTCCCATGGCCCTCCCTGAAGCTTGCTTCCGAGTAAACGTAGCGAGGCTCGCAGCTGCAAACGCAGGCAAGCCCCTCGGCACCTCTCCCTCGGCACCGTGGGGCCAGGCCCGCTATAGATTTTAAGCAGGAGTCCTTCCTCAGCCCGGCGCGCTCGCAGCTCTCGGACCAGGGCAGGCCCGGAAAGGACTTGCATGAAACACAGCCGCGCGACTTCGTCAGTGGAAGCCTCGAAGCCCAGCGCCGGGGAACTTTAGGTGGAAGCGAACTCTCTCTCTCTCTCTGGCACACCCGCCCCCCCAGAGGAACGCGCTGCAGTGGTATCTGCTCGGGCTCAGGCCTTGTGCGCTCCTTTCGAGCGATCCTCACCGTGCGCGAGGCGAGCTTGCCGTGCCGCCGCGCACCATTCTGCTCCCCGCGCAAGGCGGCGTCGCCCGCGGTCCTCTCCTTCCTGCAGGCCGCCGATCAGGCGCGCCGGGCCGAGGCGGGGGAAGAGAGGGCCTCGCCGCCGCCTTCTGCGTGGCCAGGCGTGCCGGGCCCTCCAGGCCAGATCCCGCCGCGGCAGTCCCCACATTGCACAGGCTCCCCCGGGGGGGCGGCTGGCCGCGGCTCCGCGGAGGAAGGCGAATCGGCAGGCGGGAAACGAGCAGGCGCGGAGCAACATCTCTGTGGGGGGAATCGGGGTGGTTTTGGGGGGGGGAGTCGGGAAGAAGGCCCCCGCCGCCGCCTCTGCCCGGAAGACATTTGGGGTTCGTGCTCTCGGCTTAAAACTCCGGGTTTCATTGATTTAATTCCAGCGCCCAGACCTGCTGAGGCCAACCAGTCCTGCCTTTAAGCCGTTTCTCTCCGTGGCCTAAAGAGGGAGAATAAACCTCGGGCTGCTGCAGAAGAGAAAGGAAAGGAAAAGGGTGGGGGGAAGGAGAGAGAGACAGAAACCAGGAGGGAAGCAATAATTAAAATTCAATCAATCAATGACAGCGCAGTCCTATACAAATCTACTCAAATGTGACCCCCGAGTTATTCCCAGGTGAGCGCGCTGCGAACTCGGACTGCAGCTTGACAAACGGGGGCAGAGCAGACTCACTTGCCCTCGCAGCGAGGCCATGTCGAGCACTCCTTTTTACTCTGGGGTAAGTGCAGGGGCTCACATCGGATTGGGACCCTAGCATGCCTTTAAGATTTGGCTCAGTACCGGCTGCACCGACTCTGGAGTAAAATTAAGAAGGCATAACAGAGCCAAACATTAAAAGGTCTGTGTTGACTCACTCACGGACATACCATGATAAAGTCATACTTTTTGTTACGGTTGCTTTGTTTTCGTGTATTATATTCTCATAGTCATTAGTTGGTGACTACAGCACAACATAAAGGGAATAAATGAATTAACACCAGTGGAATAAATGGAAGGAGGCTGACGGTCCATAGAAGCCCCATTTATTTCAATGGGACTCGCTTCCCCGAAATTGTGTACCCCCTTGCAGCCTGAGGCACCTGCCTAACTAGCCGACTGTTATCCATGGGGCTTTCGGAAAAGCTTCTAGTTAGCTAAATCGCCTAATAACAATAAACACCGATACAAAGGAAACGCGTGGCCACCTGCAAGGATAGAGCGCCCTGCAAGAGATGCGCCAAGAATGCTTGTTTGGGGCACGACTACCACTGTTTGTAAATTTCAGCAGGAAAGTTGTAAATAAGAACCCAGCTTTGTGCCTCTAATTATGAGTATTAGAAGATCGGGCGGAAGGCAATAAATTTTTGGACTGTTACTTGCAGCCCTTTTATAAATATCGAAGGCCGTGTTTTGGTAAATACAACTGAGCCCGCTACTAAATTACACTCGTTATGAGCCTTTAATTGCCAGGGCGATTCCATTAAAAGTTTCAGCAACAGGGCTGAATAAATAATACACGGTTTATACAGGCGCTTGAAAAATATAAACTCATAACTTCACAGAAGCTAATTTGTTTTACTTTCCTCCCCCAGCCCTTGGGGATTATTTTTTAAGCTGGGCCATTTATTATTATTTTAAATCCGCCTTCTCCACTCTCTAGGAGAGCTAATTTCAGCAGTGAACCCCAAGCGAAGAAATCAAGGTAGAAACTATCTGTTTTTTTCTTTTTTAATAAGTATTTTGTTTTAGTTCTCCCCCATTTAGCAGACTAGAGTACGGGGAGAGACTCCTCATCAAGGCGGGTTCGCAGGACTGGGATGAAACGGACGCGAGGACGGCCTTTTCGATCATCATAAAACGAGAAGGAAGGGCTTCAGAAAACCACGGGCCGAAAGGGGCTGGTTGTTACCTCGCAGGAATATCTGCCGGAGGCGGTCCCTGAGACCCCGAGCAGCGGTGCCTGCTATTGCGCTCAGCGTCCACATCCTAAAAGGATCCTAAAGCGGGGGGGGGGGTGGCGACGATGGTCAGGCTCAGCGCCCCCTAACTCGAATGTCTCAGCCCCAACGAGGTTGCAGGAGGAGAACGAATGGGGCGCTGCACACGCGCTCCTGAGGACGGCAGCGCACGGGCATCAGGGAACGCGCCGGTTCCGCCGACGCCCCGCGCCAGCTTCGCTCCGCGGCCGCGCGGAGGGGCCGGGCGCTGCCAAAGATCCGCACCGGGGGCAGGAACGCGCAGCCCCGCTGACCCGGGAAGGGGGGCTTGTTCCTCTGGGGGAGAGATCTGGAGGCCAGCTTGGGGCGAGGGGTGACCAGCACAGCGGAAAGCCTTCTGCCGCTTGTTTCGCTGCCAGTGGGCCCAAGACTCTTCTCCCCCACTCTCAGAGATGGATTGGATCCCGGTACAGTCTTGCTCAGAGTAGACCCACTGAAATGAATGGACCGCAGAGGAGGCCGTGCGCTTTCAGCCGACTCGCGCCCGCGTGTTGCCTGCGAAGGCGATTTCTCCCTGCCTGGAGAGAATCTCTCAAAATAACGGCAGCCAAGAACTGTGAAGAAGTAGGATTAAAAAAAGAAAAAATAATACATTGGGCAGAAATTTGGCCTTGGGAAAGGCGAAGCCGCCAGGCTGTGTCTTCACGCCCCTCCGTATCTTTCTCCATATTTTCTAAGTGAGTTTGACGCCTGCATGAATTTGGAAAACCTGCGCTACCTTCACGAAGCCGAGCCGGAGGGCGCAGCCGCGAGGGAGAGGGCGCTTTTCTGCAGTAAAGTCCCGGGGTACTTTCACACCCCCCCTCGGGGTATGCGCCCCCGCCTCCGCCAGGCCTGCTCCACACGCGGGCGAGCGGCTGCGGGGCCTTGTCCTTCCGGGGAGCGAAGCGGGAGCGCAGGGCCCCGCAGAAGAGCCCGCCTCGGCCGGAGAGCGGGCTGTGTACGAGGCTCGCGTGAAATCTTCGCTCCACCGCTACCTCCAGCAACGGCGGCTCATCTGACAGGCTGCGTTTCCTCTCCCTTCCAGCAGTGTGTGGGGCAGAAAAAGTCCTCCCCGCTACCAGTGGGGAGCGAGAAGCCGTGCGTTTCATTCTGGCCACCTTTATAAAGGCGGCTGGGGCCGTTATTGCAGCCCGATCGATGCCTCCTTCACTCGGAAGCCAATGCCACGGGGTTCAGCTGCACTTACTCGCAAGTAAGCGTCGCAGCATTTAACGTGACTATAATGACGGCCTCTGGGCAGCTCCTGGGAAATGGGGCATTTCTTCTGCAGAAGGTTTGAATCGCTGCGCTTTATCGTTTGTCAAAACGCTGCCCTTCGGAGTGCTCGCCTGAAAGGGTCCAGCAAGCCAGGCAGGCCTTCTTTCAGAGCAGCGCTTCACATTCCCCCCCCCCCACCGCTCAAGACTCTGTTGGGGAGGGTCCCCTCAGTTCAATTCCAGCCGCACAGTTACACACACAGTTTGCTATAGTTCCGCCTTCAAGCCCCCTCCGCAGCTTGCCAGTGCTCTCCTCCTGTAAGTGGGCACCCTCTTGGCTACCAAAGGAGCCACACTCGGCAGATTAATGCTCTAGCGAAATATACACAACAGAACACGCCGTCCCGCCACCGCCCCTGGACGCTCCATTCGCCACAAGGGGCGGCTCTCCTCTGAGGCAGCAGAAAGCACGGAGCAAGAGGCTCTTTGCAGCAGACAGGCCTGTGCTAAACACGCGCGCCCGTCGCCGGAAGGGCTTCCTCTGAGCCCCGAGAAGCGCCCTGCTGCACCGCGAGCAGGACTGCGCGCGATCTCGGCGCTGGCGCCCCGCTCGGCGCTGCGAGCAGCCCTCCCTCCTCCGAGGGGCCGCGCCTGCTCCTTTTCAGGGCGCAAAATCAGCCGGCGGCGCCAAGCGAGCCGGCGCCGGGACAGCGAGTTCCGAGCCGCAGGCGCGGCGCAACCCCGGGGCCGTTCGCGTGGAAGGATAGGCGCAGGTCTTGCGCGCGGCAGCCTGCAGGGCAGCGGCAAGGCCTCTCAGCCTGGCGGGCCTTCTCCCCTCCAGCGCCTCCTTGTCCGGAAGAAAGCCCTCAGGCCGACCGAACAGGGGCTAAACCTGGTCGGAACACGTTTACTCAGAGGCAAACCCCGCGGGGTTCTCCTGTCAACAGAGCCTTCAAGACGGGAGCCTCGGGCTACGCTTCTCGAGTTGCACCATCGGTGTCTCGGGTGGGCGAGAGAAAAACAGGTCGGGAGTGGGGCGGAAAGGCCTGGGCTTGGATCATGGATGGCCTGCTGCGGGATGCAGGAGTATTTTCGGTAGTGTTATTTGTGGACATGAAATAAATACTTCAGGAAGGACCTCTATATGAGGGGCATGAAAGATGGTCCACCTCCCACAAGCTACTCCCTACTGGGGAACTCGGGATTAGGCCTAACAAAATGAGGCTTTCCACCACATAAGCGTGGCTGGCAGCAGGCATGAGGCCAGGGCAGCTTTCCCGGGGATGGGGGCAGAGGTGGGGCAGTGGGTGGGGAGCTGATGGCCGGCTGGAAGAATCCGCCCACGTCACAGCAATGTTCCGTGCCACACGCACCTCCAGGCCTCCTGCTCCTCACTGCTCAAGACCATTTTCCTCAGAAGGCAAGAGAGCGCACAGAGCAGTCCCGGGCACACTTCCGCGCAGTGCGTCCAGGCAAATGCAGCTACCTGGAAGGATTCAGCCTATGGAGCAAGGAGGGAATCTGCCGAACAGCCATCCAAGACTGCGGGGGTCCCCCCCCCCCGCCCAGTTGCAAGCGTCGCCCCCATGGAGGCTAATGGTTCAGGAAACACTGCTCGGGGAGGTGGGGAGTCACACGACACGGCTAACGCAGCATTTCATTTTAGGGCAGCATTTCATTTTAGGGCATCGTCTTATGCATCCTTCAAAGGAAAAAGCTCGGCAATGCCTAACACAGGCCCACCCACCCAAGCTTCATCTCAGCCCATCGGCCAGTTCAAGTACTACTTTGGATGCCTTTAATGGAGACCACGGGCTTTATCTCCAATTAAATGTGCCCACCATCCTAAGCACATTCCACAGGAGTTAGTCACTGATGCCCTGCTCCAGTGCAACATCTTTAAAAAAGTGTGTGTGTTGCTACAGACTTAAACCGCCTGCAGAACTCAAGTTGTACAGAATCATAGAGTGGTAGAGCTGGAAGGCTCCAGAAGGCCATTGGGTCCAAAGCCCAGGACTCCAGGTTAAACCGTCCTTCTCAGATGGCTGTCCAGATGCTTGTCCACTTGCATCTATACATGAGGCTAGATCCAGATTTAGGGTGCAGTCCCATGATTGTTTTGAGAGAGGGGGAAAAAATCCTACATTTCCCAACATGCTCTAGTCATGACTGGCTGGAGCACGCTGGGAATTGTAGGTCTTTTTTCTCTCTGAACCTGCCCAAGACTGAGTCTCAAAGCATAGACCCATTGGAATCAATTGACCTTGAGTTAGTCACGATTCCACGAATTTAAATAGCAGCTAAGTATTCCTACTTTAAGTGCACCTCATGAGGTCCCAGCCTAGGCAGTGTAAGTCCTTCGATAGACCCTACCCACCGGAACGCCAGGGTTTCCCTGCAAGTCAAACTCACAGAAAGTACTGCCGAGATAGCAAAATAATAGCGGAGGCCACCAAAGTCAAGTTGTGCTTACTTTCGAGTAATGCACGTGGACGGACGGACGGACGGGGCACTGAGTTCTCGAGATACAGCTGTGAATTCTGTAGCAAGATGGATCAGTCTACCTCGCCCGCACCCCTGCACCGCCTGCTGTTTCCCACCGAGGTGCGTATCCTCTGGGCTGCACCAGTTCAGCCTGAAGAAGGAGGCGTGCGGGATTAACTCCAGTCACAACGCATTCCGTTCGCACAGATTGGATCCGAATTAAACACGTTTAGTCCCACTGAACGCAACTGAACTCCTTTTAGTTAGTCAAAGCACCGCTTGGTCTGGCTCTAATCTGACAATGCCCTGGGAACACGTTTGTGCGGGGAGGGCGCGGTTGCCGTTTATGGCGATCCAGTGAATCGAAGGAGCCGCCACGCGACTGTGGAAACAGTGGCCCTGAGCATGTGCAAAATCCAGTCCTTCCTGCTATACATGCCTTGGGTGGAGCGGGGGGGGGGTCACTATTCTCCCCCAGCCCACTCCACGTGCTGTTTCCGAGAGCGCACGGCCACTTCGCTCGCCTCTTAGGGACCGGTCAGCTGAGCTTTGGGCTCGGCAGTCCAGGCGGGAGCGGGCAGGACACACCGCTGCCGCCCTCCACCAGCAAGCCCCGACCCAGCCCCGGGCGCTCGGACCTGGGCCCCGTCCAGGCGCGGGCGCCGCGCACGCATCGCCGCCCGTCCCCGTCCCCGGGCGCGCCCGGCCCGGCGCGGCGCCCGACCTTACCGGCTGCTGCTCGCGCTTCCTCTTGGCGTCGCGGGGCTCGGCCTTCTTGAGCTCGGCCTTGAAGCCCTCGGCAGCGGGGCCGTCCTTGGCGAGCACCTCCATGAGGTAGGCGATGTAGCTGGTGGCCAGGCGCAGCGTCTTGATCTTGGAAAGCTTCGTGTCGGCCGGCACGTTGGGGATGCACTCGCGCAGCTCGGCGAAGGCGCTGTTCAGGCTCTCGGTGCGGCGGCGCTCCTTGCGCGGAGCCCCCGGCGCCGCCGCCGCCGCCGCCCGCCGCCGCCCCGCCAGCCGCCCGCCCAGCTCCGACGGGCTCCCGCCGTACGAGGAGGCGGGCGAAGCCGACGAGCCCAGCCCGG